GCCCCACTTGTCAGCCGCAGAGCCAAACTTCCAGAGCCCTTACAAGAGATCTCATTTAGATGCTTCCCCACGTGGTTGACGTGGATGCTGCCCAGGAGTCCCCTTCCTTCTCCTGCAGCCATCCAGGTCTGTGCAGGGAGCCCATGGCTCCGCTAACACCGGCTTGGCTCCTTTGCCACTTCCGGACTGACCATGCAGGTGCCCAAGGTGCCCTTTGTTAACGCTTAAGGGGGGATTTTATCTCATGTTACAGCTTTGGGCACAATTTGGTTTTGCCTTTTTATTTCTCAAGGCGTTTTTCCTTGCAGGACCGGGGCTAAGTCTGGAGGTCCACTCTGAGATCTCCCACCTGCAGGACAAGGACTCTCCTGCAGAGCAGCAAGAGCCTAAGCTCTCCTCTTCCCCAAGCCTTTTGCCGCTGTTATCTGCAGATCTTTAAGGGACTATTTTAAAGGCAAAGTAGTGATCCAGCAGAGCCAGCTTTCCCCTCCAGAACGCTCTGATTCCTTGTGCTGTGGCTTTGCAGCCTTGGAGGCACAGCAGGACCCCAGCCTGGGCTCCCCTGAGTCCTGATGTCTCTCCTGGGGCCTGGCGAGGAGCAGGGACCTCAGGACTGCCTGGATTTCAGCCTGGGACTCTCCAAATTTCTGTTCATCACCCGTTAATGTGCAACCAGCCATTGGCCCCCCAAGGAGTTAACAAAGTGTTGGGGGGTTGCTGGCCAGGAGGTTCATCTCTCATCTGGAAATGCCTTTTGTCTCATCATGTTCTCATTTATCCCACCTGCTTTTTTTTTTTTTAAAAGCAAACGTGAGTGAATTAACATTAATTTGGGGCAGCTCATCTCAGTAGGGTCAAAGAGCAGCTGCAGCACGATGCGTTCTCTCCTGGGAGTGTAGTGCCCCTCTGCCAGGCGCAGCCCATCCCCGGGACCCTGAAGGCACCTCAGAAGGAACAGGCAGCGTGTGGGACCCACGGCCGTGCATGGGAACCAGCCTGCAGTGCTACCTGCACGTGGCCATGCACGCAGTGACTGCTCGGCCAAACCCCACATCCTCCAGCCCCATCGCAGCCAAAGGACAACCTCGGTGGGCTCTGCTGCGTTACTGGGTGGGCTTCTGGCTCCCACCGCCCTGCCGTGAGCTGCAGGTGGGTGCGTGGCCATCTGCCATCTGCCCTCCCGCATCCTCCCGTGTCCTCCCGAGGCCAGGATCCCCACAAGGCCAATGCCAGCAGGAGCTGCCAGGGGATGGAGCTTGGCCAAGCCGGACCCGGAGGGACCCAGGGCACAGCCATGGGGCTGGAGCTGTGCTCTGGCTGCCCGTGAGCTGCCCGCGGGTGCTCCCGTGGACGCTGGGGACCCCCCGTGGCTGTTACCAGAAGGATGGACTGTTCTGACCTCCAGGATCTTAGCCAGCTTCTTGCTGCCTTTCAGCTCTAGAGAGGCCTTGCAGATGCACTCGTAGCTGGCTTTGATCTCCTCCGTCTTCTCCTGCAGAGTGGCCTTAAAATGGAGGCTGCGCAGACGGATCTTGTATTCTGGTACTGACAACATCTGAGAGCAAAAGAAGGAGAAAATTACTACTATCACCATTAGCCACAATCGCTCCGGTATGGTGTTTTTCCCAGCATATTTCCCTGTGCAGTACGCACTTGCTTAGCGCAGGTGACACCGCGGAGCAGCTGGGACAGCTGCTGTAGCTCGCAGAGCATGGCCGGGGTGCTGCCCCAGGAAGGGGGAGCG